GGATGATAGTATTACTAAAACATTTAACATACTGCAGAAAAGTTTTCATCACATTTAATAAATCATTTACATATATATTGAACAAGACAGTTACTATAGCTGATTGTGTTTCTTAAGCATCGATTTAGTGCACATTAAATGTACTGATTATAATTTTTGCTTCTATATTTAATTTGCATGACATACTTTTGCATTTTCTGAAACTTTATAAGTAAAATACTTATCACTAATTCAGTTGTTCTATAGTTTTCATTTCTATAACTAATATATTATATAACATCTATTAGTCCTGAAAATGATGCATATTTAAATCTAAGTAATAAACAACAATTTTCATTTTTAGCTTTATAAGTTGAATTTTTACTCTAAAGTTTAGTTTTAAATGATCTATGTAAATACCTATTTCAACCATTACTATTATAGAAAATTATATTCTTACCTTTCCATAGATATTTGCATTTTGAATATTAAATGAACTACTACATGTAGGTGTTCTTTCCACTTCTATCTGAGGTCATTAACAGTAAATGACAAAAAAAATAGAAAATTCAATATATACAATCACTAATTCGTGTGGACACTTCAACCCTATTGGATATTTACTCTGACCCACAGTTGACAGTATGTTGACCTTTTACTGAGCAGAGAGGGGGCTGATAGAATTCAAAGTTCAATATAGCAGAAAAGTAAATTCTATGAAAACGAAAGTCAATTATAATACATAGTATAAGTTGCTATTTATTATTATACATTCATTACTAAGATATAAATCACATACATATATTTACATTATACTTTTGTATTAAGCTTTTGTATGTCACTGACTTTAAAAGTTAGTAAACATAGTGTTACGACCATCGAGGTCACGTGACTAGTATCACGCCACGTCATTCTCGAACATTCACGTCTTTTCCTTAAATCTCGTGATTCTTCTAGATATAGTGTAGTCTTGTATATATAAGACCGGCCACGAAGTGACGGGAGAGGTAATGAGTAATTGAACTGCAGTCAGAGAATGTATAATTCAACTCGAGCACGTGAGACGTTTGTTATAGCGCGACTGCTGAAATTAAGAGTATCGCAAAGTTTTATTCA